CTGCTTGATTAAACTGGACATGTAGGACCCATAGAGAAATGATGATCCTTTAGGGTTCCTGCTTCATTAAAGAGTCTGATAGACACTCTACAGGACACAGAAAAATGTGACAAACAAACCACCAATATGGATGAAACTGTCTTTGAAATTTCCTGCTTTATGGAAGAGTCTGTTGGATACTATGGGCCTGTAGGCTGAAGATGGATGCCCAACAGTACAGAAGAACTTTGGGTGACTGTCCAGGCAGCAAGATGTCTCTGTCAATTCTAGAATTTTGGAAGTTGGTTACAATGCAATCCCTTCTGGAGTCTTTGATGAACTTTATGAATAGCTATAGTTTTCCTTAGTTATGATAAAAGATAAAATAGATATAAATATTGTAACTGTAATTCTTGCTTTATAACTGTTTTGCTATATGTAATTTTACTATGTTAAAGTGAAAGCCTTTCTTTTTGTTTAAATACAAAAAGGAGAAATGATGTAGGAGGGTCATCTGTCTATGTGTTATTTTCATTGGTTAATAAAGAAACTGCCTTGGCTTTTTGATAGGGCAGACTTTATATACGTGGAGTAGACAGAACAGAATGCTGGGAGAAAGAAGCAGATACCATGAAGCTCCGGCCCGAGATGGGTGCTGGTTAAACTCATGCCGGCATATCCTACATCATTTCCCCTTTTCTGTCTAAATAAAAAGGAAGGTTTTAACTTTAACATAGTAAAATTACATCTAACAAGACAGGTGTCAAGCAAGAATTACAGTTACAACATTTATATCTACTTTATCTTTTATCATAACTTAGAAAAGCTATAATTATAACTATGTATTCTTCAACTCCATCAAAGACTCCAGAAGGATATAATATTACCTAAGTTAACAGGAAGTACATTATAAGCAACTTCCGAAAATCTAGAATTGACAGAGACATCTTGTTGTCTAGACAGTCACCCCAAGTTCTTCTGTAATATTCAGGTATCCATCTTCAGCCTACAGGCCCACAGTATCTGGCAGACTTTTAAGTGAAGCAGGAAATTTGAAAGGCTGTTTTGCCAACGTTGGCAGTTTGTCAGTCACTTACTTCTGTATCCTGAAGAATGTCTGGAGTTTCTTCTGTAAAGCAGGAACCCTGAAGACTATCTGTCTTTTGGAAAGTTTAGCAGTCACTTTTCTGTGGGTCCTGCAAGTCCAGTTCATATAGCATACCATAAGACAGTGCAGGCAAGAGCAGTTTCTACACCAAATGGCTAGCCTTGTCACACTGAAGGTAAATTCCATAACGAGTTTCTTCAATGCACATCAACCTCTCTGAAGTAACTGGTGCTGCCAGAAGAAGACATATCTCACTGTTCAAAAAAGTCTATGTTCTTAGAACATTTTAAATGCCATTCTGTAGGTCTTTGAAGTACTGAAGATTATCTATCTAACTGAAATATCTCTCTGTATATCTAGAAAATCTAACTAGTGACTACAAGTTTGACTTAAAAATTAGTATCTAAAGCCGGGCGGTGGCAGCACAAGCCTTTAATCACAGCACTTGGGAGACAGAGGCAGTTGGATCTCTGTGAGCTCGAGGTCAGCCTGGTCTATAGAGTGAGTTCCAGGACAGACTCCAAAAGCTACAGAGAAACCCTGTCTCGAAAAAATTGAATACTTATTAATCTATAACTTTTAATTATACATTTTTAAATTAGCTGTATAAACATAATACCTTAAACAATAGAAATGCACATATAACATTTTTTATTCCTTTAATCTATTACTGTCTGTACTCTGTCTCTTTAAAGACTTTGCTTTATTATTTAAGACTATTTCTTATAACTGTCTATACTATTTTTCTTCTCTCTCAAGCCTACATACATTTTTAAAACATATTGTGACCCATTCAGAGGTTTATTTATGTCTGAATCTGTCTTTATTGTGTATCTGTAATCATTTTCTGACCAGGAGTGCTTTTAAAATGCTAAGTAGCTTGGTTGCAGCAACCATGGATGGGGACTCTGCCACTCTTAGCCTTTCAATATGGTGGATGTACCTTTCCTTCCAGTTCTCAGACCCCTAGATGGGAGCTGTCCTCACCACCTCAACTCTAGGAAGAGTTGACCCATGCTGCCACCAAGTAGCTTGCATCACACTGCCCACAAACCCTATTCAAGTACTTGGCCTTCTGAAAGAGCCAGAGCTGTTTGTGCAACAAGCATGAACCAGAAAGTCTTCTTAAAGGAGCCACACAGTTTTGGCTGACTGCTGAGTCAGGAAGCCTTCTCTTAAAAGAAGCATGCCTCTGCTTGAATCTATCAAACAGAGCCCAGCCAAGAAAATACTGCAACCATGAAGACGTGTTTAACACAGTTTTGAGTGTGTGTGTGTGTGTGTGTGTGTGTGTGTAGAATTCCTTTCCAAACTCTCTCAGGTTTTATGTGTATGTAGTTGTTCCACATTGGTGCACCAATTTTGTAGGCAGAGCCTGTTCCTTTGTGTCCAGGCCAACCAGACACAAATAATCACACAGAAACTATATTAATTACAACTATGTTGAGCAAATGGCTTAGGCTTCTTGTTAATTAACCCTTACATCTTAAATTAATCCATTTCTTTTATTCTGTGTCTCACTACAAGGCTCTGGCTTACCAGGTAAAGTTCTGGCATCTGTCTCCTTTGGCAGCAAAAAGGGGAGGTGATGTTGAATTCCCCTCTATATGCTGTGAATATGTTTATCGCCATTCATTAATAAAGAAGCTGTTTTCGACTAATAGCTTAACAGAGTAAAACCAGGTGTAAAATTCAAACAGAGATGGAGAGGGGGGGCAGAGTCGTGGAGATGCCATGTAGCTGCTAAAGGAGACAGATGCCAGAACTTTACCCAGTAAGCCACAGCCTTGTGGCAATACACAGAAAAATGGAAATGGGTTAATTTAAGATGTATGCATTAGTTAATAAGAAGACTAAGTCATTGGCCAAACAGTATTGTAATTAATATAATTTCTTTGTGATTATTCATGTCCTCAAGGCCAGGAAAACAAGCAGTCTCTGCCAACAAAATATCATAATGGAGAAACATAAAACAGACACCAATGTAAGAGCAAACTCAGAAGTGGATCCCTTCAAATATCAACAAATTAATATTTTTGTTTTGGTAAAGCAGAGACCTTAAGGGTTAAAGATTCTTCAGAGATTGTGTGATAAACAATATTCCAGGGTTACCTTGGAATCAGAGAAGAGAAACCTTTTTCCTCTGGAGGAGAAGCTGGGCACCTCAGATTAGTGGTGAAATCTGGACACACACACACACACACACACACACTCTTACACTTAAAATCTCGACAATGTGTTTGAGAGAAAACATGTTTATGTCTACTATATTAAACATAATACCTAATTAATATATAGTTTTACACATTCGTGTAAGATGAGAACACTTTTTAAAAGAAAGAATATCAATCTGTCCTTCAACACCCACAATGTAAAAACAAACCCTTTAAGGCCATTTGTATCCTGGGAGCAAAATAGTCCATAATTTTAAATTTGACCTTGGCTTTTGGTTCTCTTATTTGAAATTAGACCCCTTGAAAGGAGCCCCTCTAACCAATGTCAATAACATGTTTTCACATGCAAATATGACAAGACTTTCTTTTAGAGTCCCCTGGAGACTACTAGTATACAGAGAATTTTGCCACCCCTTCTCATACCTCCTATAATCCTCTGACCTGAGTGTCTATCCTACATGACCCCACCCTATGTGGCTTGTATGATGAAGCTGGCGGAGGTGGAGGGCAAGACTGAATCACGAATCCCTTGCAGCAGTCCTGGTGTCTCAAAAGTGGCAGGCCACATTCAGCGCCACAAGTTTTGCTGAGTGATGGCCAGGAGCAGTTTTAATACTGCTAACTGTCCAAAAACTCATTGAAATGGATTTGTAGCAGCCAGGCTGGCAGGGGGCAGCGAGTCCTGAGAGCAGAGCGGGTTGCGGGTCCCAAGAATATCCAGTCCCGGGCATGGCCCGGGTACACCACGCTGCAGATCTCCAAAGGTGGCTGTTTCCCTGGGCGACCCCTGGGGCTAGCCGTGTGGGTGGCAGGTGGGCAAGGGGCAGACAGATAGGCACACCATGCAGATGGGTTTGCTGCAAGCTGCCGGGATCCCGGAAGCAGGGACGGCGCACAAGACCACCTGGCAGGTCTCCATCTGACTGCGGCTGGAGGGTGAGAGAGACAGATAGACGTACCATACAGAGTAAAGTTAGATATTTATTAGGTGGATTATGGAGGGGAAGGAAAAGGGGGAAGCAGGAGAGAGAGAGAGAGAGAGAGAAAGAGAGAGAGAGAGAGAGAGAGAGAGAAAGTTGGCAGCCTCTCCAAGAGAGGGGACAGAAAGAGGAAGAGTGGGGCTCTGAGGCTGCAAGCAGGAAGGGAGTGGGCGTGGCTTGTCTCTTAAAGAGACAGAACAATCATTACAGTCATTCTCTTCTGGGTATGAAGTTTTTTGGGATTTTTAGTAATGTATAGCTGTTTCCTCATGTTAAAAAAAAACCTGTGTCCTTAATGCTACAAGATGTCCTTAAGTGACTTGAGTACCTCAGTGTCTGTACAAAAGAACCTGGTCAGCAGTTCTATTGTCATGGGAGAATGAAATTAACTCTTAGCCCCTAAAATGCCAGAAGTGTGAAGATTCTGATCACTTCTTGGGTATGTGAACTTTGTGGAGGCTCATTTCTCAGCCAATGAGCTTAACGTTCTCACGGAGCATCATTAGTCTCAGGTAGGAACCTTTGCAAGTCCCGCTTACAGTTCTAGCATATCTTTTCCTTCCTGCTCTGTACCTTTCTATCTGAGAAAGTAGTTTGTTTACTCTGCCCTCCCTGGTTCACTCCACCCTCTCCAGTTCACTCCACCCACTCCACCCACTCCGCCCACTACACCCTCTCTGCCTTCTCCCGCCATCTCCGCCCTTTCCCGTGAAGTTCGAAATCTTCCTAGGAGGGAGGTCCTACCTTCCCCTCTCCCAGCATGCAATGTTTCAACTGCATAAACCTATGCAGATCTAAGAGGTGAACTGCTGAACTGCTGTCCTGTGACTTGCGGGAGTTATCTTCACTTAGGTTAACTTCTGGCTGGTTTCTTTTGTGCCATGTCTGATAACAAAAAGCCAGACCGAGGCCCTAGTGGCTCAGATGGTAAAAGTGATGGAAATGGATGCTGTTTACCGGAACAGCACTCCGTGGAAGAAATCCTGATGTCTTTGGTGTGGCTGATCTTCATTGCTGCCACAGCAAGTTTTCTGGCGTTCCAGTTCATCGTAGATGCCATTTATGAGGAGGAGTATGAGAGAGATGTGGCCTGGATAGCCAAGCAAAGCAGGCATATGTCCTCTACCGACGAGGAGGATGAGGACACTGAGGATGAAGACATCACGGATGAAGACATGGAGGATGAGGACCAGGAAGAATTGGAGAACCAGATGGAGGAAGCAGAGGAATACAGGGCAGAAGATGAGACGCACATGGAAGAGGGTGCCGGAGCTACCTACCTCATTGACTTAGCAACCTGTACCTGTAAGTTACCCATGGCCCTTAATCTGGATTCAGGTTGGATGTTTTCTTAACTACATCCAGAGTAAAGACCACCTCAGAGTTGGGCTCACTCTTCAGTATCATTCCTGACTCATCCCCTCCCCCCTCCACTCAGTTACCATCCTCCTCCTCCCATTCCTCAAGCTGCTCCCCACCTTTATGTACCTTTACTCTATCTACTCGGCTTCCTTCCCCACACCCCTTTAGCTACTTTCCACTCCCTGCACCCATCCCTCTCCATACTAGCCTTTTCTCTCCATCCCTCTCCCAGCTCCCTCCCCCTTTCATTTTAGCTTGTTTTCCCTGCTACCATCCTGCTCCCTGTACTTTCTTCTCCCTGCCCCCATCCTCCTTCCAGCTCCCCTTTTTGCCCCTTTCTTCTCTAGGCCCCATCCTCTGCCTGCTCCCCTTTTTGCGCCTTTCTTCTCCAAGTCCCATCCCCCTGCCTGCTCCACTTTTTGCAACTTTCTTGTCCCTTCCCCCATCCTCCTAGCATCTCCCCTTTTTGTGGCTTTCTTCTCCCTGCCCCATGATCCTCCCTGCCCCCATTTTTGTACCTTTCATCTTCCTGCACCCATCCCCCTGCCTGCTCCTGTTTTTAGTCCCTCTCTTTACCCTGACCCATCCCCCTCTCCTCTCCCTTTTTCTTGCCTTTCTTCTCCAAGTCCCCATTCTCCCTTGCTGCTCCCCTCTTTCCCCTTTCTTCTCCCTGTCCCCATCCCCTGATTGCCCCCTTTTCCCACACCCTCCTTCTCCCTTCCCCCATCCTCCTCCCAGCTCCTGTTTTTTGCCCCTTTGTTCTCCAGGTCCCACCCTCCCCCACCCTTTTATGCCTTCCTTATCCCTGCCCCCATCCCCGTGTTTGCTCCTCTTATTGTAACTTTTTTTCCCTGCCCCCGCACTTGCACCTGCTCTCCTTTTTGTCCCTTTCTTCTCCCTGTCCCCATCCCCCTGCCTGCTTCCCCTTTTTGCACCTTTTTTCTCCCTCCCCATCCCCCTTCCTGTTCTGGATTTTAGTTTCTTTCTTCTCCCTGCCCCATACCCCTGGCTGCTCCCCTTTTCGCAACTTTCTTCTTCCTTCCCCCATCCTCCTAGCATCTCCCCTTTTTGTGTGTCTCTTACCACTGCACCCATCCCCCAGCATGCTTCCCCTTTTTGCGCCTTTTTTCTCCCTCCCCATAACCCTTCCTGCTCCAGATTTTAGTTCCTTTCTTCTCCCTGCCCCATACCCCTGGCTGCTCCCCTTTTTGCAACTTTCTTCTTCCTTCCGCCATCCTCTTAGCATCTCCCCTTTTTGTGTCTTACCGCTGCACCCATCCCCCTGCCTGCTTCCCCTTTTTTGCGCATTTTTTCTCCCTGTACCCATCCCCCTCCATGCTAATCTTTTTGAGCTTTCTTCTCCAAGCTCCACCCCCCCACTGCTCCCCTTTTTGCACCTTTCTTCTCCCTGTGCCCATCCCCCTCCCTGCCCCATTTTAGCACCTTTCATCTTCCCGCACCTATCCCCCTGCCTTTTTTCTCCCTCCCCATCCCCCTGCCTGCTCCCCCTTTTTGGCATTTCTCCTTCTGGCCCCCATACCACCCTGCTCCCCTCCTTGTGCCTTTTTCCTCCAAACCCCATCCCCCAACTGTTGCCTTTTGTGTCTTTCCTTTCTCTGCTCCCTCCCCCTGTGCCCCTTTGTGTTTCCCACCTCTCTCTCCATCCTCCCATCCCCTTCCCTGCTCCCTTTTTTGTGACTTTCTTCTCAGTGCTCCCCACCCCCTTCCTGCTCCCATGTTTGCACCTTTTTGCCCCTCTCTTTTTCCCAGCTCCCCTCCCCATTGCCTTACCTCTCCCTGCTCTGCCCCCTCCCATTTTAGCTTCCTTTTCTACCTCCTAACATCCCCTCCTTGCTCCCCTTTTTTGTGCCTTTCCTCTCAAGCACCCATTCCCTTACCTCCTCCCCCTTTCCTGCCTTCTATCCCTGTGCTCCCATTCCAATCCCTACTCTCATCCTCCTTCTTGCTCCCCCTTTTCCTGCCTCACCTCTTCTTTCTTCCCTTCCCTTTCCTGCTCCTCTTTTTGCATAGTTCCTCTCCCAGTACCCCTCAACCTCTCTGCTCCCCTTTTCCAGCCTTTCTTCTCCCTGCTCCCTCCCCTCCCTCATCGCCTTTTCATATCTTATGTCTTCCAGATCCTCTCCCCCTCCATGCTTCCCTTTTTGCACCTTTAATCCCCAGTTCCCCTCCCCCTCCCTGCTCTCCCTTTTTGGGTCTTTACTCCCCAGAGCCTCTCCCCTCCATACTCCCTTTTTTTCGTGCCATTCAGCTCCCTTCCCTGCTCCTGTTAGTGATTTCCCTTCCTTACCTCTCCCTTATCTCTCACTCCCCTGCTCCCCTTTTGGGCCTTCCTTTCCCTCATGCCTTCCCTACATGTTCCCCCTTTTAGCCCCTTTCTTGTCTCCTCCCTGTCTTCATTTTTCCCCCTTTTCTCCCTGCTCCCTCCCTCTCGCTGCTCCTCCTCTGGCCCCCATCTCCCCCCCCCCCCTTTTATACATTTCTGCTCCCCGAGCCTTCTCTCTCATGACTCCCTTTTCTGTGCCTTATCTCTCCCTGCTCCCTGCTTCTTGTCTTTCTTTTCCACATTCTGCTTCTTCACTCCCCTCCCTCCACTCACTTCAGTTTCCCTGCCCCCTTCTTGCTTCTCTAATCTCCTAATTCCTTTACCCCATCCCTCTCCTCTTCCCACCTCCCTCCCCCTCCTTACTGTTATGAAATTGCCTGCGGGTCCCAAGCAGCTTGCAGCAGGGTCCCGGTGTCTGGTCCCGAGCAGCGGGGGCCTGGCAGCAGGTCTCAAGGGGTGGCGGGTTGGAGGCACAGACACATGGTATAGAATAGAATTGGATATTTATTAGTTGAGTAATAAAATGGGAAGGAAAAAGGGGAGAAGGGGGAAGATAGGAGAGAGAGAAAGGGAAGAGAAAAAGGACAGAAAGAGAAAAGAAGGGGGAAGAAGGGGAGCGCACGGAGCCAAAGGGAACAGAGAAAGAATCAAGATGGCGAGAGGAGGGGAGGGTCCACAGGGAGTGGGCATGGCTTGTCTCTTAAAGTGATGAACAATCATAACACCTACTACCATGATTTCCCTGCCCCCTTCCTGCTTCTCTTATCTCCTAATTCCTTTACCCCATCCCTCTCCTCTTCCTATCTCCCTCTCCTTCCCTACTACGCTGATTTCCTCACCACCCTGCTCTCTGCCTCTTTCCTTTTCCTTCTATCATCTCCCCCTCCCCTGTCAATTCCTTCACTTCACTCTTCCTGTTCCCTTCCCCTCCCCCTCCTTGTGCTCCCTTCCTGCCTCTGCTCCCTCTCTCATCTCACCACTCCAATTCATTACCCCCTCTTCCTTTCTCTCTCCCTATCTCTGCTCGTCTCTCTTCCTGCCCTCCACCTTCTGCCTCTTCCCTAGCCTCATTCCTTCTTTCTACCCTTCTCTCTTTTCCATCTTCCCCTCCCTGCTCCTTCCTCCTTACATCTCTACTTTGCTGCTGTCTCTCCTCCTTTTCTCTGTCCTTCACCCCCTCTCCTTCCTCCCCTTTATTCATCCTCCCCCTCTCTTACGTCCTGCTTCCCTCTCCTCTGTGCTTCTACTTCCTGCCTCTCCTTCTCTTTGCTCCTCTCCTCTCCCATTCTCTGTTCTCCTTCATATCTTCCTTACCTCTCCTTATCCCCCCACGCCCTCCTCTTCTTGCACCTCTCTCTTTGTTCTTTCCATCCCCTTTCCCCATCCATCAATCCTCCCTTCCCCTCTCCCTCCATGCTCCCCTTCCTTTCCTGTTCCCTTTCTGTCTCTCTTCCTCCTCTTCCCTTTTCTCTCCCATCCCTTGCCTCTCTTTGTTTTTCCTACTCCTTGCTCCCCTCCCCCTGCCTGATTCCCTTACCTACTTTATGCCTCCTTCTGTGTATCTCTCCTCTCCTCCTTTCCCTCTTTCCACTTCCTGTTACTCTCACTCAGATCCTTCTTCCCTTCTGTCTCCCACTTCCCTTCTGTTCCATCTCCCCTGTTCATCACCCATCTCCTCCCTGCCCTCTCTCCTCTTTCTTCTTCACCCTTTCCTCTCCCGTTCCCCTCTATCTTCATTCATATCCCCTTTCCCCTCTGGATCTGCCTTTCCAATGGTACTTCCTCCTCCCATTTCTCCCTTCCCTTTCCCCCTTCTCTTTTCCTCCTTCTTCCATCTCCCTTCCTCCCCTCTTCCCCTCTCCCTCCTCCCTTCATTCTCTCCTTCCCATCTCCACTCCAAGTCCCCTTCTTTTACTCTTCCACCCTCCTCTTTAAAAGGAGGTCCCATCTGGGAGGCAAGGAACAAAGCAGAATGGGAAAGTCAGAGCTGTGGGCAGACAAGGCTGAATGCAGATAAGGCTAGGTATCTGAGGATTCTGGAATGCAGCCAACAGGGGCTTATGTAGCCCGAGGTAACCAGAAGGAACAAAGTGATAGTGGAATTCTGTGCCTCTGTTGGAGCATCTTTCTCAAATGCAGGCCATGTTGAGAGCTTGCCCAACCCTGTTGAATAATAGTAGAGTCTGAAAAGTAGGTGCCAGTGGTTTTTTTTTATTTTATTTTATTTTATTTTTAGATAAATTAGTACTTGGTTGGTTGTATTCTGCTAAAAATACAGCAAATACAGACTGGAGACTTCTGTCCCATGGGTTATGAATAATGAACTATGTATACAGGAAAAGCTGTCAACATGCAGATTTATTTTAGGATGAAGACATGTTGGGACCATAGACATGTTGCTGAATTGCTCTCTCTTGCTCATGTTTATCTTCTCCAGGTGTTCCTGACCATAAACTAAGGAAGAATATAATCAGGTTTAAGGTGCTTCATTTCTTCCGTGAGCCTAACTTCCTGGTGTCTATACCAGTAGAATCGGAACAGCCGATTGAATGTGAGTGTGAAGATGTTGACAGAGAAGCTGCTGAGGAGAAGGAAGAGGAAGGAGATGAAACTGCAAATCTGGAAGGGGACCTGGACTCTGAAGAGGACTCCCTGCTTTAGGAACACAGGTACTGTCTACTTCCACTAACCATTCCTAACATAAGGGACTAATAGCTTCATGGGTTTTGAAATATTCTTGGCAAACAAAACAGTTGTTAAATTTTCATATTATTTAATATTAAATGAAATAAATATTAAATTTATTTAAGATTAAACTAAAATAGTTTACCATCCATAATGTGCTCATACGTTAAGCAGGAGTCAGTTGTTTGTAGATGCAAGTCCTTTAGACTAACCAAGAGATTGCTTGCTATGGATGGGAATACTACAGACTTGGTAGTAAAAGATGATAATGAGAATTCTTGTCTCCATTGGGTGGATATTGTTCTTATGGTGCTGATAAAAGTTTGGATAAATTGGGAAAAATTTAAGTGTTTCAAGTGAAATCACATCTCATGATTCATTTGTAAATTATCAGCCTAGTTCTGATTTTACTATCTCAAATGACATAAAACTAAAAAACAAATACATATAGTTTTTACTGAATTGGGAATTAGGCATTATATTTTCTGTGTTCATCTTTGACTCTTTTTGTCTTTCTGAATTTTCCCATTTCTGGGCCAGGCTTTAAAGAGATGAAATTTTGTATTTAAAAAAAATAATCTTTTTCAAATTTTTGATTTAAACTTTTGATTTAATTTTAGGTTAAAAATTTTAAATGATATTTTTAAAGAGATGAAAATCTCATTTTAAAGAAGTAACAGCTGAGTAGCTGGGGGCCTAAGGGAATGTACAGGGCTGATATATAAACATATAAAGTTTTGTGCTCTGAGAAGCAATAAAGAGAAACACAAAACAGGCCTTTACAGTGATTGACAATAGGAAAGTGAGGTTGATAGGACCAGATTACAGAAACTAACAAACTTATGGGAACGCTGATAACTAAAGATCGCTTAGGGAAGAACAGAAGGGAAGTGTTTTACTTTTTCCTTGTTGAGAGACAATGGCAGTTCAGAGAATTGGAAGTCAGCAGTGCCTTTTAAAGGGATACAAATATTGTTTGTCTCTTATTTCCTCCTACAGTTGCAAAGCCCAGAAGAAAGAAATGGATGGAGGAAGAGGAAATGGTTTTCACTGGTTTTCTCGGTTTTAGTAGTCTAGGAAACAGATTTTGTTCTGAAGTTCATGATACCGATGTCCTCAACAGACATCTGACCACACAGTAACCGTTTATAGATAAATAAGGCTATGTTTGTTTGTGTTTAAAAATAAAAGTTTGACTTGCATTAACTACAGTCCTTTTATGTTAATGTTAATTCACATTTTAAAAAATCTATTCGGTTTTGCCCCACTTTGAAAAAGAAAAGCAACTAGCTTATCAGGATACTAAATAATTACTGATGGGTCACTCTGAGCCAGCAGCAGCAGCAGCTGAAAACTTGCTAAGTGTACATTCTTAGACTCTATTCCAGACTTACTGAATCCAAGATCCTTAAGGCCGACCTTCAGGCAAGAATTCTTAAGTCCTCTAATACTTCTGAGTACCTGACCCTCAGAGTACCACTGGCTTGCTGCAATGGGGGAAAGACTTGGTAGAACCAGCCTTCCTTAGCTCCGGATGTAAGAAAGAAGTAAGTGGAGCATTTTTTGGAAAGATGTTAGTGCTTTGGGAATGTGCCCTTGAAGGAGATTCGGGACCCTTCTGGCCTCTTTTTTTGGTAACAGCTGTTGAGCTGCAAATGTATCCTTCTGATATTTTTCTCCATCTTTGTGTAGTACTTTTCTTTGGATCTCTGTCTCTAGGTTTGTTCTTTATCAGGGTGCCAGTGAGCAATTAAGGGTCCACCTTTATCCAGTATTATTTCATCCTAGTATTCTATTTGCAAATATTCTTAGGTCACATCCATGGAGTCTAAGAGTGGCTTCTGCAGTATATCTCTGTGAAGGACACCATTGAACTCATTAACGTGTGATGGGGAGCCAACCAGGTCATAACTATTCAGACACAGTTTATAGCCAACTGAAGTCTTAATTTCAAACAGCTGGGACACTCTGGCATATGGGGACCCACGTGTATCCCTGAGTATTTAGAGAAAGAAGTTTTAACGGCAAAAGCTACATCCTGGTATCTCATTTTGCAGCTCCAGCAGGCACGCTTTACACAATCAAGTACCCTAACAGAAGCTGAGATAAGCAGCTACCTGGAGAGGGTTCTGCACACGCAGGCAGTTTAATGGAAACTAAGTTATCTGGGGTGTCTTGATTTCAGTTTTCTTGAACAGAGTTGGGAAATTTTCCGTGGGATTCTCCATCAAGGAAATCAAATTCTAGTTAAACCTAACATAACCTCAGCAAGAATACAAGATGGAGGAACTTTTGCAATACCTGCCCCGTCACAAAGGAGCAAAGATTGGGTGGTGGTCATAAAATATAGATAAAGGAAAAAACAGGGGAAATGTAAAACAATATCTTTATCATGTTTGTGGTGAAAGGCGCACGTATGTGTGTATGTTGTTGCTTATGTGTCTATGCTGCTTATCTTCATAATTCTTTCTGAACGCTAATTGCAACCTTCTATATATGTATATGTACATATGTATGTGTGTACAAATATATGTATTTATGTACATAGCACTCAGAAAGAATTATGAAGAAGATAAATACCATATTAAAGACAGAGTTCTTTTAAATTTCCTCTTTAATTTAGAAAAAATTTCAAACCTGCAGAAAATGTATGTAGAATATTATATCATGTGCTCATCATCCAATCTAACAACACACCTAGAAAAAAAGGATTGAACTTCAGCTGAATTCTACCTTTTGTTCTACAAATGCTAACCACTGCCTTTAATGTGGTATTTAGCTTCTTCACAATTCAATTCTACGTGTGCTGTTAGATTGGACAATAAGCACATGGATATAATATTCTACATACATTTTTACAAGTTCAGAACTTTTTTTAAATTAAAGAGATTTAAAAGAAATCTTCTTTTAAAGCTGACTTAAGAAAAATGAGTGGCATTGCTGAACAGAGTAAAGGGTTGGAAATGATAAGGATTTTATTTTAAGTAGGAATCTGGTTTCGACATTTAGTTAAGGCTGCCTAGATTCCTGCTTATTGGCCTCAATAGTGCAATAGCATTTTGCATGTTATATAATAGCATATTTCACATTCTAGTTTAAATTGACACTTTTTGTACATGGTCATCTCTTTACAACCTGTAGAAAGTACCATTTTCAAGGTTTCAGATTACACATGCACTTACTTGTTTCTTCTAAATGAGCCACACTGCATTTTTTTCCCTTAGGAGGTGCTTGAAATGCTTGATAATACGTGGTCTGCTTTTTGTTTAGATGTCTCTTCTTAACTCCAGCATCCTGTTACATTTCCGGGGTATTTGTGGTATTACTATATTGATGAAGGTGAGAAACAGGTATATGTAGGATTCTTAATTACTTTATGTAGCTTAGCAACATTTTCTAATAAAACAGTTTAAATTAAAATTGTAAATTAATAACAGAATTAATAAAGAAGACCTAATAAAGAAGACCTGTTTAAAGAAAGTTATAGATGGAAGATCGGTGAAGGGGAAAGGACAGGGCACAGGCAAGGATACTAGAAGGCCTTATTATACTTTAGTAGAAGTTTGTCTCAAAGTTTTAGCATAGCCTTACTATCTCCCCACATGTTCTTTGGTAGCACATACAGGCTGTAATTCTTTTAGAGATGGTCAGTTAGTGGTGACCACAAAAGGAGACAGAAAAGAGGCTCAGGAAACACTTAATGTATTACTCCATTATTGTAACATGATGGGGGCTGGCTTGTTTGTTTGTTGGGGCTTCTTTCCCGCCCTGTACCCCACAACCAGCTTGTTGGGGTTTTCTGTCCTGCGCGGCCCCCCAGCTGTTTAGTCCCAAAGTAAAATCACACAAGAGATCTTTATAAGTTATAATGCTGATTGGCCCGTTAGGTCAGGCTTCTTACTGGCTAACTCTCACATCTTGATTAACCCATTTTTCTAATCTACGTTAGCCATGTGGCTCAGTACCTTTTTCAGTGGGGCAGCTCACATCCTGCTGCTTCGGTGATCTGGGCAGGAGTGGGAGTATTCAACTTCCTCCTCCCCAGAATTCTCCTGCTCTCCTTGCATCATTTCCACTTCCTGTCTGGTTTTCCTGCCTACACCTCCTGCCTGGCCAATCAGTGTTTATTTAAAACATGATTGACAGAATACAGACAATTCTCCTGCACCACATTATGCTCACAAGTCTTTGACACTGGAGGTATCCTGTTACCAAAGTATTAGGCCCAACTCTGAAAGCCCCATGAGACTAGATTCAAGAGATGCTAAAACAAGTGTAGTTGGTTAGAGCCGGCAAACATGTGGTCTAGAAAGCTTCCTTCCCTGTTCAGAGAATAGCTCCAGAATAGAAGTGGGGAGCCAACAATTAGGCATCTGCATAGCCTCTTTAGTCAGACCTGCAAACCGAGAGAGAGAGAGAGAGAGAGAGAAGCAAGCAATGTGGGTGTGGGTTCTCGTGCATGTTGGTTGCAGGTAAAGATTTGAGGATTCCTCTAGGGTCCTCCTAACATGCTCTAGGAAGCCAGGCTTAGAAGGCAGTTTATGTTCAGGTTTTGTTACCAGTATGAGATGGTGGCCTTCAGAAAGCCTGAAGAGTGGCATAAGTTAAATGGACTGGTTAGAGAAACACACATAAACAATTAAAATCATTCAAAACAATGCCAGTCATGCTTTTAATTGTCATGCTAGGGCTGGAAAGATGGCTCAGCAGTTAAGAGCATTTGTTTCTCATGCAAAGAATCTGAGTTGGGGTTCGGTTCCCTGCAACCATGTAATATTTCATTTCCTTCTATAATTCTAGTTTCAGGGAAGCTGGTGCCCTTCTCCTCTGAAGTCACACACATGGTGCACAGACACACATGCAAGACCAATTCTCATTTACATACCTGGCTCTAGGTGGAGATAGGAATGGTTCTTGCAGCAGTGTGGTCACAGGACACCATCGAGGCTTCAGGTTGCATCCCAACCCTGGGCTTCTG